ATGTCTTCTCCCTGTCAGCTCAACACTTTTGACCTTCAAGGCTACCCGTATCCCTTTGGCTCCATGCTCAACTGTTCGTACTGGTTATTAAATAACTATCAGGGCACCAGATAGGTAAATATCCACCCTACTCAGTAACCCATGGTCAAACCCATTGTCCAGGGACTTTGTTGGCAATGAGAATTTCGGTGTTGTTATAAAAGTTTAACCCGATGTCATGCCAGCAAGTCCACGGGCTGGGCCCCTCCACCTGTGGGTCTTGAGGTATTTCTGACTTATTTTGAAGGTGATTGCTGAAAGGTGCCAGCCGGGTCCAGATCAGACAATCTGATAACCAGGTAAGTGCCATAGGCCACCCCAAAACAGCTCCATTTGTGCTGACCAAAGGCTCAGCCCCCAGCTTTCCCTGTGTTCCTTACGTGGACCTTGTACAGCACTCAACTACATGACACTGCTGGATTTGTAAGTGTGCTGCAGGTCTTCACATGAGGGACCCACAGTGGCAATCCCACCTTCCAATGTCCTCAGCCCCACGCAGCTGCCCTTCTCCTCCTCCCACCCACAGCCACCGGCAAGCCCAGACAAGAACCTAGTTGTTTGTGGACTGTTTCCTAGAAGGGGGTCTCTGAAAGAGCCTGAAGGCCATTTTAGAGCTTGTGGAGAGGAAGAAAAAGCCAGAAGGACAGACAGCTCTGGGGCAGAGTCCATCGGATATGGGGAATGGAATCTTTTGTAGCATACACCACTTGAACTTAAGCATACACCGCTTTAACCTAACTTCAAGGTTAATCCCATGCATTGTGGCAGACCTATCCAAACTCCCTCTGTGCCCTTTTCTGATAACGAGAGAAAGCGCATGTAACGTTGCTCGCCTCACACTATTCACCTGCCCAGTCTGTTTAGGTCAGCCCCACATTTCAAAGGCAGCTTGCAGAGGCACAGATCTGGCTCAGACAGCCAAAAGTGAGTCTTTGTGCTGCTTGTTCATCCTTCTCCTCCTCAGGTAGGCAAGAGGCATCATCAGGAGCCTCCTGACTGACTGCAACGCAGATGCTTCTCAGCCAACCAGCAAACACACCTACCAGCCAGCTGGCCAGACAGCCTGCACTGCCTCCTCTCCTGATGGGAATCACGGTGCTGCAGGACAGGTGGGGGATCATAGGAAGAGCTAGAGGTACTAGATGGATCTCCTACACCTTCCATGGCCATGCAGTCCCTGGAGCCAGTGCTTCTGCTCATGAGCAAGAAGTTGCCACAGCAGATCGGGTCCCACTTGCTCTGGCTACAGCCCAAGCCTTCCCTAAGAAATGCCTAACCTGACAGACTGCAACCTTCTGCCTCCTAAACAGCAACCTTTAACTCCCATGTGAACCTTTGCACAGATCCAGCTGTCTCAGCATAAGGAGATACCATTGGTCTTATGAAGATGGCCAAGTGTGTGAAAAGTTCATGCTGCTCAGTGTCTGCCAGGGATGTTCTCCATGGCAGCACGAATGGAGTCAGTGCGTTCCTTAAATTTTAAAATTGTTGATGGATGTGGCTCTAATGACTTACCAGGCTCTGGCCCAAAGGAAGCGGCATGTCAGCAATGGTGATGAGAAAAAAGCAGGATGACAAATGCCAGCCAGAGAGTATAACTCCTCCTTCCTCTTCCCAGTCTGAAGAACCAGAGGCACCATCTTAAAGCAGGTTACAGGTGTCCAATTCAAGGGACAGTCACAGTGGGGAGCCAAAGAAATATGCTCATGCAGCCAAAGCACCTGAGTCTGAGGAGATAGAAGAGATTTTCGGCTGTTGTCTTTGGCTCTTTGCAGTACATCTTCCTGCCATGCTAACAGAAGCCCAGTGCCACGTGCAGAGCTGTAGTACTGACTGGGTCACCTTAGCCCAGCTGCGGACCTTATGCAATCATTATTTCTAGCGAAATGCCAAAGAAACAGTGTTACAGACAACACTGGCAAACTAGCAAAAGGGTATTTGCAGCCCAGGAACAGACTAAGGGTTGATCATAAAGCTGATGTCTTTTAAGACCAAATTGTGTTTCTAGAGCAGTCTTCCACTAGCAGCATGCAGAAGCAATGAACAGGCACCTGGACACACACGGTAGGAGCAGGTAGTCAGCCAGCTGACATGCCCAGTGCCTTTTGTGCCCTGGGCACCCGCGATGGCAGGTGTCTCTCATCCCATCTCATGTGGAAATGTCCAAGCCACCAACCTCAGGATGCAAACCCAGGAGTGAGTGAGGAGTTCTGGAGACACTGTCACTGCTGGTGCTGGAGGCCAACACATCATGCCCAAGCACTTGCAAAATTTCTTATCACGACCTGAGAACTAGGTGATGATGCACGTGACAGAGACCACATGTCACACTAACTAACATCAACAGGGGGATCGATGTTCACCCAGAAAATCCACAGCTGGACTTCCAGAAGGAGACAGAAGCAGTGGGATGCAGAGTCAAACATCCCTCTGAGGGACACAAAAGTGGAACCCACCAGGACCCTCTGTGAACCATTCGCCTGTGAGGCTGAGTCTGTGAGGCACTCAGCATCCTCCAGCCGCATGGCAGGGAGGACAAATCCTGACCCTTGCAAAGAACCACGGGTGATACGGCAGCGTCTGTGCTGGAAAGAGGGTCAGGCTGAGTCTTCCTGCTCTGTGCACTAGTGTGCCCACCCATAAAGAGAAAAAAAAAAGCCATGCTGAATTAGGTGCTGTATTTCAGCAAGGGAATCCTCATGGATCCAAAGTAAAACTGTCCCAAGTGCCCTCAGTCATGGGAGTTTACACTGTGAGTTCCCAAGAAGGGTTGACAGCACAGAGAAGTTGCAGGTGAAGATTTCAAGCAGAAAGGGAGCTGTTTTAACGATACTTCTTGAGTGCCGTGCACCACACCTAACCTTTTCTGCAGCCTGTTGATTTTTTTCTCAAAGAGCGCAGGATGAATCCGGCTTATGCAGTTCAGCACCTTCCCGTGCTACACCCAAGGTGGCACACACCATGACCTGCAGCCTGTTTGCAATAAGCAACACATCACAGAGAATAAGCAATATATCTACAATCCTTCGCGTGGGTTCGTAGCAGCCAGACACTTCACATCTCCCTGAGACTGATATATAAATGGTACAGCCTGTACCTATGGCTTCATCATTGTGATCATTAATTAACTAATAGGCTACTAGCCAGCTGAGGGAAAAGTTACTCACTTCACTAACTTTCAGACATTTTCGTGGAGACAAGAATTCCCAGGCAATGGGTCTTGTAAGTTTGGTTTTTTCATATACTTTCTGTCTAAAAAGTTTAAATATTTTCACTGGGGCTGTGCAGTTTCACTTCAGCCAGCGATCTCCATGTCTCTGGCATTATGAAAAGCATACATCTGGACAGTGAATACCAGATAAACAATAGGGTTTTTTCAGTAAAATGGCTCTGCTAACAGAAAAGATGGGTTTCAATCGGCCCTGGCATAATTTAGAGTAAAAACTAAACAAAAGTTTAGGTTTTGGTGGACTCAGCAGTATTAGACTAATGGTTAGACTTGATGATCTTAAACATCCAACATAAAAGGTTCTATGATTCCATGATTCCATGAAAGTGCCCAAACATCAGAAGACCCTCATCTCAGAGACAAGTTGAAGAGAAACACCCACAAAGTTCAGCAGCCCCTGTGTAGTAGCACATCAGACTACCAGATTCAGCACCTGACGACTCATTTGACCCTCACAATATCCCAGCATCCAAATGGGAAATGAATTCAGTCCATCTGGAGATCCTCCTCTTTGCAATATGCCTGGAAGTCACCCACATGCGGCAGACTTGCAGCCCAAGTCTTCCCCCAACCCCTCAATTCCCTCCAAGACTTCCCAGGCTTCTGCGCCTACGGGATGTGAGCCCAGGTAACCAGAAGGATCTGCTCAGGGATTGCTAGAAGGGGTCTTACCTGGGGCCCAACCAAGCATATGTGGTGATGTGGAGCCTTTTCTGAAGGATGGTGAGATGCCATGTAAACAGGGGAAGGAGGACTCACTGGGATTGTGGAGGGGACATGACCTTACGGTCACCCCTCCTAACAGGTTAGACGCATATGTGGTGATGTGGAGCCTTTTTTGAAGGATGGTGAGATGCCGTGTAGACAGGGGAAGGAGGACTCACCGGGACTGTGGAGGGGACATGACCTTACCATCACCCCTCCTAACAGGTTAGACATGTCCTCAGTCTTGCTGCAGCCCATTTTACTGCTCTGCTGCTCTCCTCCTCATGTCTTACCTACTGGCCATGGCAATTCTGGGCAGCAGTTTTGCCTCCTGGCTTGCCTACAGTTGAACTTCTTGGAGAACAGGTCCACAGTCCCTTGCGAGCTGATGGGGTGTATGTCCATTCTCTGGATTATAGTCCGGCAGTGCTGTGTGATGTTTCAGTCACAGAGCACTGCTTTTACAGCTGGAGGCAGCTGGATCCATCCGGCCTGTGCGTTTGGCAGAGGTGGCCTGTTTGTTCCTCACTTCACACGGGTGGATGAATGGCTTCCAGACCTGAATTTGGCTGAGGACACCATGGAGCTCAGCTAGAGCCCAAGCGTTGCTACCTCTTGCCTCCTCCCTCCTATGGCCTTGTCCACCTGGGCACGGATGACTGTGAGCGCTTTCCCTTGCTGCTGGGGTGCATGGGACTTCAGAGAAAGCGGCAAATACGTACAGGTTGTTTGTTAACAAGCCACCTCCATCCCCAGGTCACTGGAAGCAGGTCAAAGGGTGTGTAGGAGCAGCAGGCAATCGGGCTGCCGGCCAAGCTGACTGATTGCAGCGGTCGGCGCTGCTGACCATCATGTTCCTGCTGCTATAAATTGCTGCCAGTGGGGCTTCACCAGGCTCAGCTCCAGCAGAGCAGGAGAGAAAGAACTTTTACCTGCACCTAGCTCCCTGTCAGCTGCAGGCATAAGAGCACCAGAAGAGGAGCAGGCAGGAGAAGGCAGTGTCAGGCATTCCGGATACAGGGCCAGCATGGGGTCTCTGCTAGACAGCATCTCCAGACCTTCTGCTGTTGTTCTGCAGCTGTCTGTGGTGCTCGGTGTCATCTTCGTGCTGCTGAAGGTGGTCCAGTTCTACCAGAAGAGGAAGAAACTCATCAAAGCTCTGGAGGCATTCCCTGGTCCCCCGAAACACTGGCTTTATGGCCACAATCATCAGGTGAGAAGGGAACTGGGCTCAGTCAGGGTTTATCCCAACAACTGTGGAAGATACTGGTCAGGATGAGAGCATGCACCAAGTGGGGTGTGCATGTCCCCTGTTCGTGTCCCTTCCGACAGGAGAGGATGTCTGTACAGGGAGTGCCAAGGCTTTTGCAGGGCAGGCAGAAAGTGTGTCTGCATATGAGATGGGCATAATTTCGGTAAAAAGACGAGCTGCGTTGGTTTTGATCATGTGCTTAAAGTGGAGTTAGATGATTTCTGGGGCTTTCATGGAGTTGTTTAAATATGAGCAATAAAATGTCTGTCTTCTGCATTAAACCTTCTACCAATTAGAGTCTTTCCCCCTACAGCCACTTCAGAAGTCATGAACACAAAACCAGGGCATTTTATTGCAGCCATTTTCATCCTTCTATAATGAAGATATTTTTGATTTCACGTTGCCTGCTCACCTTGCACCGCTCAATTTAGACAGCAGGGGTGTAACAGCCTTGGTCCCCCCGGCCTGTTCACCAGGCGTCCTGGCATTGCCCATGCCAGCTGCAGCTCCTGAGTGCAACACCAAGCTTCTCCAAGCCCAGGCTGTCCTAACGTGGTTTGACTGCAGCTGTGCACCAGCTAAGGGCTCTCCATGGAGCCCTGTTGTGATGCAGGACACCTTTGCCACTGGTGCACGGTCCCTTTGCCATGTCCAGCAACTCCTCCACCTGCAGCATGGAAAACACACGGTGCAAGTCTGCCCACTCTCTTCTTGTTTTCCAGGAGAGGACGTCTTGTGTGTGCTTCCCATGAGAGGGCAAGTTTAGCCTCTGCTCTCCCTGGCACATCCCTCTTTTTCTGCCTGAGTTCAGTCTCCCTGCTTAACTGTCATTGCAGATAACTACCGAAAACATGTTTTATCAGTTCATCTCATGGGGAGAACAATACCCCTATGCCTTTCCCAGATGGTTTGGGCCAGTCCTGCCTTCTCTAATAATCCACCATCCTGAATATGCCAAAAGCATACTTGGCCGCACGGGTAAGTCTCTCCATCTGTTTTTGGGAAGTCATGTCCTTGACACTACCGAGAAAGTCATAGGAACCTTGCCTGGAGTCATCCCCTTTGCCAGCTTCCTTCACAGCTACAGCAATTCCTCCTTTGCTCCCCTCCTCAAACTCCTAGCCCACCCCAGGTTTCAGGGAGCAGTTCATATTCTCATGTAAAACAGTGACCACGTGCCTGTTCCTCCCAGTCCACTGTCTCTGTTAGCGCTGCTATTACTGTCTTCCATGGCATCTACCACCGCAGTATCTGTGCTTCCCAGTAAACCCAGTAATGTTGGTTGCCTGTCATGGCAATGGCTCTCAGAAGACATCTCAGTTCTTCCCCTCTGCTCCTTCTGTGGAGCATGATGCCTGTGAGTGGTACCTACATGGGCATCTCCAGTAACTCCCATTCATTGTTCTCAACTTTGAGATTTGCCATGACCATTTCTTCACATACAAATTTTGTTACACCTTTCTCTGGTTTTCTCAAGTCCATTAAGGTCATATTTGTGGAAGACCACTTTTAAACTCTACCTCTAGTGTTAGAGTACTTTACACATGGAATTGAAACTAATTCTACATTGTGATTTGGAGGACATACTCTCATGTTAATTTATCCTGAATTTTCTTTTTGTTATGTTGAATTCATCAGACATTCATACTGTTCTGGTTTCTATTTTGCTGTACAGATAGCAAGTCCAAGATACCCTACAAATTCTTAGTTCCCTGGATCGGTAAGTCATTCTCTTCCATTATCTCTTTCAGGCATATTGCACATTTCAGAGGCTTTTCTCATCTTCCTTCATTTTGTTTTCTTCCATTCTAAAACCAGAGCTTGCAAATGAGAGGGTTTGTTTGTGTGTGAGCATTAGTACCGGTGGTGCCCACCTTGTCGTGGAGCTTTGCCTTGGATCACACACCCCGGCCACCACAAAGCAGCCTTCAGTTTGCTCAGGGACTGAGTGCTACCATGGATAACTGGGGTGACACACCAAGGATAGGGAGGTGGATGGCTTGCACGCAGCTTTGAGGTAACCCTCTGGGGTCCTGCTAACAAGTGTCAGGGTGTGCTGCAAAAAGCAGCCAAGTATTTAATTTAGGGCAGAAAAATCCATCTGAGACCAAATCCTGTGCCTCTGCCATCAAGGCTTTGGTTTTGGGGTAGACCAGGCATGCTCAGCCGGTTGCAGTGAAGGATGCGTGGGCATGCTTCTCCTCCCTCCAACGAGCACTGCTGTGATCGGCCTCAGAGAAGCCAGAGAAAAGGCTGCTCCACCAACTCTTCCTCCACCCAGACCACGCACATTAGCCTGCGCTTGGCCAAAAGCAGCAGTGAGGCTGTCAGAGCCGTGCTCAGGGTCTGGAGGAGCTGATTGTGCCTTTGCTGATTGTGTCTCCAGGGCAGGGACTGTTGATCTTGGATGGAACCAAATGGTTCCAGCATCGGAAGCTGCTCACCCCAGCCTTTCATTATGACGTGCTGAAATCTTATGTGACCCTGATGTCAGATTCAGTCAAGGTGATGCTGGTAAGAATCACCACTCCTGCTACTTTTACGTTTCATCTGTGCACCAGTGAAAATAATCATGTCTGGGAATGACTGAGGGAAACAGACTGGACTTAGATGGTTCCTAGAGTTTCAATGAACTGTTTGGGTAGTTTTGAAGTTCTGAAATCAGTCCCTTCACCTTCCTCTGGCCATTCCACTTACTATCTCCTTCATCTGCTTTCCAATAAAATCAGCTATTGCTAGAACATCCTTTCTTAGCACAGTAATGATAAACCTGGAAAAAGAAATGCACAGAAGAGTTTGATCTGCTTCACAGACTGCATAGGTCCTCTGCTGCCAGAAAAGAATGTCATGAGCAGTGTGGATCTGGGAAGAGAGACAGGAAAATGTGACCTGATTGTAGGTGGTTGTCTGTCCCTCCTTACCCCTCTCCACCATAGGATAAATGGGAAAGGAAGATCACAGACAGGAAGTCAGTGGAGCTCTTTCAGGACGTCAGCTTGATGACACTAGACAGCATCATGAAATGCGCCTTCAGTTATAATAACAACTGTCAGACTCAGAGGTCAGTGCCTGAACTTTCAAATCCTGGGAAAGCAAGCGCTCCTGTTTCCCCACTCATGTTGCTAACACCAGCTGTAACCTTGGTCGCCTTACAGCAACTCAGACTATTATATCAGAGCTGTTTATGACCTGAGCCATCTCGTGAGCAGCAGGTTCCGGACTTTTTCTTACAAGGATATCTTCTACAACTTGACTCGCAACGGCCGTGACTTTCACAACGCCTGCAAGCTGGCCCATACCCACACAGGTATTTCTCCCCCTTTCTCCCCAGCCCTGCCTCCCAGCTGAACCTCTCCCCTACTTGTATCTGGAGCAGCTCGGAGAGGGGTGGCAGCATGCACTGTCCAGAGGGTTACACATTAAACAGAGTCCGAGCTGTGACCAAGCGGACAAGTACATGAGGTCTCTGACGGGGCAGGACACATCTGACTGACCATTCTTCTATACAGACAAGGTAATAAAAGAAAGAAAGATGTTACTCTCCAGTGAGAAGGAACTTGACAAGATCCAGAAGAAGAGACACCTGGATTTTCTGGACATTCTTCTTTGTACCAAGGTGAATGTTCGAAATAATCGTATCCAATGCTGAAGAACACACCTGAATGGCACCGAGGATGAATCAGCAGGGAGCTCATCACCCCTGGCTGGATTTGCTGGCAACAGCTTCCCCACCTCAGATTTCCTAGCTCAGGGAAAGGTGAATTGAAAGGGAAGGAAATACAAATGTGTGACAGAACATGAGAAGCTCAAACTTCATCTTCCTTGTTCGTTTTCATTGAACACTTTAATAGTTTAAGTAAGTGAGCCGTCAGAAACCAGAGAAGAACGAGATCTTTGGAAAGGTTACAAGGAAGCCACCATGGCTGTAATCCTTTTAAGAGGTTTTGTTTCTTCTCTTCCGCAGTTTTACCTTCACACAGATGTTCAGATACTCTGGACAGGAGCTGCCATTTTGGAGTTCAGGAAGGAGATATGTGCTGTGCTCACTTGTCCTGCTTTCTTTAATGTCTTTATCTGAAACTAAAGTCGTCAGAATCAAACTACTGAAAAACCTAACAGGGACCCTGGGCAGGGGATCATATTGGGTGTCCTTCTGAAGGACCACGAACTGGTATCCCACCAAAGCCCACCTGTGTAGCTCTGTTGACTGCAGAGTCAGCAAACATCAGGTCTGACCTCACACATATTGGATATATTTGGTACTGGCCTACTTCCTGATGTACAGGGACATCCAAGGGACACTAAAATGGGCCCCTTCTTTGTCATCATGAAGGGTTATTTTTATACCCAAAGGTCCAAGTCCGATTAATGTGCGCTTAAGAATGATATACTTTCCCCTTTTTTAGGATGAGAATGGAGCTGGACTGTCTGATGAGGACCTGCGTGCTGAGGTGGACACGTTCATGTTTGAGGGCCACGACACCACAGCCAGCGGGATCTCCTGGCTCTTCTACTGCCTGGCATTACATCCAGAGTACCAGCAACGGTGCAGGGAGGAGATCCAGGGGATCTTGGGAGAGAGAGATACCATTGAGTGGTGAGCTAGGATTTCTTACTCCTTTACTCTGAACTCTTTTCACTTATCCTTTTAAGGTCTTTCACAACATCCTCCCTTCTAAATTAGAGAGATCTGATGGATGAACTGTTCAGTGGATGAGGAATTGTTTGAATGGTTTCATCCAGAGGGTAGTGGTCAACAGCCCAATGACCAAATGGATATTGGTGACAAGTGGTGTCCCTCAGGGGTCCACACCAGGACCAGTATTGTTTAATGTCTTCATTAATGACATTAATGACAATGCATCAAAAGAAGCATGGCCAGCAGGTCGAGGGAGGTGATTCTATCCCTCTACTCTGCTCTGGTGAGACCCGACCTGGAGTGCTGCGTCCAGCTCTGGAGTCCTCAGCACAGGAAAGACATGGACTTGTTGGAGCAGGTCCATAGGAGGGCCACAGAAATTGTCAGGGGGCTGGAGCACCTCTCCTATGAAGAAAGCCTGAGAGAGTTGGGGTTGTTTAGCCTGGAGAAGAGAAGGCTCCGGGGAGACCTTATTGCAGCGTTTCAGCACTAAAAGGGGGCTTATAAGAAAGATGGGGACAAACATTTTGGCAGGGCCTGCTATGATAGGACAAGGGGTAACAGTTTTAAACTGAAATAGGGTAGATTACGCTAGATATCAGGAAGAAATTTTTCACAGTGAGGGTGGTGAAACACTGAACAGGTTGCCCAGAGAGGTGGTGGATGTCCCATCCCTGGAAACATTTAAGGTCAGGTTGGATGGGGCTCTGAGCAACCTGGTCTAGGGGAAGGTGTACCTGCTCACTGGAGGGGGGGTGCGGTTGGATCATCCCTTCCAACCCAAACCATTCTACAATTCTATGATCCTGAGAAGGAAATTCCATCTACCTTATAAGGCATCTGGATTGGGGCATTTTGCTTTTCATGTAGCAATGCTGGCAGCAAGGGGAGGACTAGGAGAAGGAGAAACCCCAACAGGAGACAGGAGACATGGCAGTCCAGCCCACTCACTGTGTAGCACTGTGTCCCCGTTGCTGTCACTCAAACACAGCCTGACCCCCCAGTTTGCTTTCAGGGAGGACCTTGGGAAGATGACTTACACCACGATGTGCATCAAAGAGAGCTTGCGCCTGTTCCCACCAGTTCCTTCGGTGTCCCGACAACTCTCTAAACCTGTCACGTTTCCTGATGGACGCAGCTTGCCAGCAGGTCGGTTGAGTTCATTCCTCTTCATGCTGCTGTCTGGGACAAGTGGGGCATCCTCCCTAGAGCTGCTGGCAGGGGGGGCTGATGGAGCTGATAGAGCTTCCAGCTTTTCTTCTCTCTCCACTGTGAGGGCCACCACAGCTTGCCATCACAGTCGGCCCAGAAGGGTGCTCCAAGGCACTGGGGTGTTCACAGAGCTCAAAGGGGACTTGCAGAGTGTTGTTCCTGGTCAAGAAATACCCTGGTACCAAGCTCTGAGGCCATTGTTCCTTCCATGTCAGGGTTTCAGGAGGTGACCTGCCTGGACAGGCTGGCCACCATCCCTTCCAGATCTCCTGCAACAGCCCCTGAAGAGTCCAGGGAAGGAGATCATTCCACAAACACCTCACTTGGGGTTTCACTCCGAGGTGTCAGGAGTTTTTTCTCTCTTTTCTTTTACAGGCTTCCAGGTTATACTGAGCATATTTGCTATTCACAGGAACCGGGATGTGTGGGAGGACCCCGAGGTATTTCACAATAACAATATAACAAGAATATATTTCACAATCACAACATAACAAGAAGGAGAAGATGATCTGTGAGCCCAAGCATCCACTCCCCTTGTACAATGCAGCCTGTGCCACCCTGCCATGTTTTTTTTTTTTTTTTCTCCTCTTATTCCAACAATCCATATCTAAATGCAAAGTTCAATGAAGTCACAAACACCCCAAAGGGTTTGAACATGACAAAGTGCTGGGAACGGGTGTTGAATAGTCCGTCTGCATGCATGGTGACACAGATATGCAGAATGCTTTCAGCTGCCCTGGACAGACTTAGGTCGCAGCGTGGTATGAGAAGTCCCAAGCCCCCCCAAGCAGTATGTGATCTGAAGCTGGTATCTTAGAGACTTCAAGGAAAGAAATAGCTGGGAAACTTGAAGGAGGGTGCGCAGTGCCTATCTGGAGAGCCAGGATCAGGCATCTCTGGACCAAAGGGATTCTGACTTGATCATTGCTACCATGGATGAGAAAACACCTGCAGGCATCTTGGGCACTGTAATGGGTTATCTGCACATCCCCAAGGGAATATATCTTTCCTCATCCACCCAGTGTCTTTCCAGAAAGATGCCTGTCAGATGCAGCTCTCCCAGGAACAGCTGAGGCCACATCCAGTCCTGCCTTGGGGACCATGAAAGAACCCAGTGCTGCTCATATCAGACCAAACACTGACCAAATGGCCTTTGTTGTTCCCACAGATTTATGATCCTCTGAGGTTTTCTCCAGAGAACTCAGCACAGAGGCACTCCCATGCTTTCCTACCTTTCTCTGCTGGATCCAGGTGGGAGATTCTTCATCCCTCTTCCTCCCCGTAGGCTTCCTTGCATGGAAGACCTAGCTCAGAGACAAGCTCCTGAAGTAATCCTCCCTCACTGCCCATGAGCCAAGTTGGCTTGGCCAACTCAAGCAGGTTTTCCCTAACAGGATCTCCACCACGCTCCCTCAGCTCCAAAGTGTTTCCCATGCCTCAAGCTCTGTTGTCACTGTGGGGTTTTGCATGCTCTTCTTGTGGATTTGGGGAGGGGTTTACATTTTCTATTGCTTTCACTGGGAACACGGCATCCCTTGTTTAGGGGTGAATTCCCAGTGTACCTCAAAGCCAAGCTGGGCGCAAGTCTCTGTTGTTTTCCTGCTGTATCGATAGTCAGATGCAGGCTACTGAGGTCTCAGTAACTTGCAAGAGGAGATAAGCCACACAGAGCCAAAAAATCACATTTCTGAGGTGTCTGGGTTTTAGATCCATGCATCACTTTATAGCGAAGTAAGATGCAGTTCTCTCAATCTCATATCTTTTATCGATGCTTATTAATAAAAAAGAGCAATACCCCACTGCAGAGCTGGGAGCATTTTGGTGTGCCATCAGGGGATCCCTCGGTAAGCTGTGGCACCATCCTTGCAGCAGCTGGAGGTCCCCCAGCACGTGCATGGGCTGAGCCAAGCTCGGGGGCAGTCGGGGATGAAGCCTGCAATCAGAGCCTTTGTCATCCTCTCCCCAGGAACTGCATCGGGCAGCAGTTTGCCATGAACGAGATGAAGGTGGCTCTGGCCCTGACCCTGCTCCGCTTCAAGCTCTTCCCTGACCCGTCCAAGCCTCCCACACTGACTCCACAGGTCATCCTCAGGTCCAGCAATGGGATCCACCTGCATTTGAAGAAGATTCGCTGACCTCATGGGGTACCACAGCGGGGTGCAGGCTCCTTCCCAAGGATCATCCTCCACCCAGAAGTGTAAGAAGGGGACACCAAACAGACCCACCTTGGACATCCACATTAACCTCTCCCCTGCTGCTGTCCAGGGGGGTACGCTGAGCCCCCTCGCACACACCCCAAACCCAGCAGGTCCAGTTCCCATCCTCGCACAAGGAACAGCTCTGCCGGGGGGTTTCGCAGTGCGGCTGTGGCTCAGCCTTCACTTCCATTGGCATCCTCCACATCCCGCGCATCTCCTCCCCTCCAGCCTGCCCTCACACGCTGTCTGGCAGGACTTCTGTCACCTGCCTGTGTATTTGCACCACTGACAGTTCCCTGCTCGGGCACAGAGGTGAACAGTGCCAGCGTGGCTTGCCAAGATGCCTAAAGCCTGGACACTGCCTGCAAACGTCTCTCCCCTGACTCCAGCATGGGTGTCCAGGGGCAAGAGAGTTCCTCCCTGCAGCCACACAGCATCCCCACACACCACCCTCCAGATAATTCCCCCTAACCCGTTCTGAGGCTGGCACTGTGCCTGCCATTACAGAGATGAATGACAGCAGGTTTTCTGCCCTGACACTGAACTTCCTTGAGCTGAGGGTGCTCAGGAGCCAGTGCAGAGACTGGTCACCAGCTAACCTAGAGAAAACACTCTCCACCCCCAAAACAATGTGGGATCAGCCTTGCCCTCCTCTCCTCTCTGGAACGAGAATAACACCTCATGGAGGTGCTCTCCAAGAGTGGCTTTGGCTTCCTTTGAATTTGCAGGCCAAGGGGAGTGCAGGATGGATCCTGGCAGGTCAGAGGCAAGGCTGGACCCAAAGGTGCAGCCCTGCTAGTGTTTTCTCAAGCCGCAAGGGTTGGTTCAGTGGGTTTGCCCCTTGGTTGAGCCTGAGGAACCTGTTTCCACCCCTCCCATGTTGTGGGTCACCAAGCCCTCGCCTCTGCCTCTGAGAGTTTCCATGGTAAGGAAATAACTGAAATGATCTGGGGTCAAACAAAGCAAAACAGAAATCATCACATGCTGATGGCAAGAACAAAATCAACTTGCAAATAAAAAAATCCCAAGAGGGAGCACGAGTCCGTCTCAAGCCCTTTTCTGCAAAAGCTGAGAACTGATCGTTCAGTACAGGAGTGAGGTTCCCAAGGGGTGTAGGTGGGGACTGGCCATGGGGCTGACCTCTTTTTGGGGGTGCAGGGACCCAATGCAGGTCCCACCCTAGAACCTGCCATAGATGGGCTCCCAGACCATGAGGGACCTGCTGGGTGAGCTGCAGGTCTGGGGCGGGAAATGGATCACTAGGTGGCAGTGGGAGACCCAGAAAAACCCAAAGTCCTTCCTGGTCCCTGGCAAAACCCCTGGGGTTTGGCAGAGAGCATGGCCAGGCGCAGCAGAGCAGCTGATGAGCCCCATCCCTGGGAGTATCCCTGTCCCATCCCCACGCTCAGCTGTGTGGGGCAGCAGAAGAAGCATTGCTCCATCACGGCCCTCAGCACGATGGTGGTGTAACCCAGAGCACAGGGAAAGTTTGTCACTGTGAGTGTCTGGGCAGTCAGCAGCTATCAGGAGAAACTGAGGCACAGAGAGCTGCACACATGCCATGCCATGGTGAGAGACAAGACTGTCCAGCTCTCACCTATGGCAATAGCATCACCAGCATCACTGTAGGCACTAATAGAGCTAAACTACACCTGGGCAGCTCAACTCTGCTTGTGGCCAGATCAGGACAGCCAAATCTGAGCATCTCCACATCTGCACAAACCCCTGCAGCTCCCTGATCCTCCTCTCTGCTGCCTGCTGCATCCTCGGTTTGAGAAACAAAATTCCTCTAGGGCTGGATCTGAACCTTCATTTTGGCTTTCCCCGTACCTAACGGGACAGGAATGCTGCAAATAACCAGCAAGGTGCAGCTTGTGCTTATTTTGTAAGGCAGCTGGAGCCAGAGTTCCTTTTCTCCCCACTCAGACCCCTTCCCACCCCAGGTGCAGGTTGTGTAGGTGCCGGTGCCACCACCTTTGCACATTGACGGACTCAGGCTGGTCTCAAAGGTCATGCTCCAGCTCTCCTCCTCCGCAGCTCCAGCACAGCAATGCCGTTGGAGGGCAGCAGTTTGATGCAGCTTTTCATTACCGGCCCTATTTATCAGACATTTCAGCCACCCACCCAGGAACAAGCAAGCCACCTTGCAGCTCTCTCATCCACCCTCGGCTTGTAGTCCAAGCAATGAGTCTGGGAAGCACTTGGCCACAAAGAACCGTCCCAGTCTCCTTGGTGGGGGGTTGCACAGGAAACTAGGTAGCATCTGAGTATGTCCCTGTGGCATCCTCTGCTTTGGGCATCTGGGGATAAGACCAGAGCAGGAAAAGCTAGATCTCATGAGGACCCACAGCTGCTGTGTACACACAGTGCCCTGCTTGGCCTCCCAGCCCTGCGTTTTGAGGCCATCATCCTACTCACTGCCATGAAGGAGGCTGCTCTTTTGGTTTCCAAGAGTCCCCCTGACTACTAGGAATGGCCAAACCCCAACCACTTCCAGCAGAGACCTTCTCTGGGGAAAACGCATTGAGAAAGCTGCTCAGGAAAGAGACTACTGCCATTTTTTATGCAAAAGAAGGATCATTATTCCAGGCATTTCTGACAACAACTGAAGTAACCTCTGCCAAATACTTTAAAGTCTCTCCCTGTTAAGCTTCGCATTTAACCTGGGTTTGCAGTTTGAAGGACCAAAGCTTTAGGGGGGAGATCTCACAGCACCGATGCATCGTGGAGCCATAATGCAGAGGCAACCAGGAGAAAATTCTTCTGCTTTTCAGCTTATCCAGGTCAAACCAGGCAACCCAAACATCCCCCCCCGCCTTCACACGCTGGCAGTTTCTGGACAGCAGCGTGTTCAAGATAACCTCCTCTGCCAAGTCAAGCTAAACGGCTTCGAGAGCAGCGAAAAGCAGCGCGAGGAGCCAGGCAGCGCCCAGTGACACAGGTCTCATCGCCCGAGCCTTTGCCCCAAATGTCTCCCTGCCGAGCGGTGACATTTCTGCGCTGTCTCAGTGCTCTCCCTCCATCACCATGGCTACAGCAGCCGCCAATCCACGGGCACGTCCTTCCAGGCTACCACCAAACCCTCTGGGAGATGCTACCAGAGCCAACCCCTTTGGCAGGGAGACACTTCAGGGACCCCGGGACAGCCCATAGCTCCAAAAATTCCCCTTTTTCTTCATTCCCTCCTCCTTTTTATTTTTTCTTTCTCTTTTTTTTTTCTTCTTTTTTTTTTGAAGCACAAACAATGGAGCTAAAAGGTTGGGTATCAGGCCGATAATCATGAATGACGTGTCGTTATTACACACCACACATTCATTATCTCCCACTCCAGCCATGTCACAGGCGGCTGGAGGAGGGCAGATAACGGGGTGCCTTCATGCAGATGGCTTATTATCAGGATGTTCCAGGAGGGGCTTTAAGACAGTTAGTGATGCTGTTTGCCAGTTAAAGATTAGAGACCCCAGAGAATAATTAACAATCCCAAAACCCAGTTTTTTCTGCTGGATTCTTCTGCTTTCTCCCCCCTCCCCCATCCTCTTTAATCTATTCACTCTAGCAGGTGTAATAAAGTGATAAGGACAGGCTCCGGGGATGTTTGTTTGGCTACTGCGGGTGTATAAACCAACAGTGGATGGTATTTTACTTCTGGCTTTCAGTGGCTTGAATCGAGACCAAAAACTTTGCAGCCCCCTTGCCCACACACAGTCACCCCTACACGCTGTGCTCCCAGCTCCCACCTGGGTGGCTGAGATTCTTCCCCAGCCCAAAGGACCGTGATGGTGGGACAGGCACCCTCTTTGCTTCTGGAGGTCCAAATTTCAGTGCTTGGGTGTTAAGGTGCCCAATGCCAGGACATAAACCCCAGGCTACACTGCTTGGGGCCAGGGCTGAAGCTGGTGGTCCTGGCTGAAGCAGTGGTTTACCTACATACAGCAAGTCTTTAATTAAACCACCTTGGAATAATTTATATGGTGGGTGTCCACCTGCCCAAGCTGCTCCAGGGTTGTAGTCACAGCTGGAACAGAAGTATCTTGTTCAGCCTGGAGAAGAGAAGGCTCTGGGGAGACCTTATAGCACCTTCCAGTACCTGAAGGGGCTACAAGGAAGCTGGGGGGGACTTTTTACAAGGGCCTGTAGTGACAGGACAAGGGGGAACGGGTTTAAATTGAAAGTGGGGAGGTTTAGATTGGGTATCAGGAAGAAGTTCTTCCCGGAGAGGGTGGTGAGGCACGGGGACAGGTTGCCCAGAGAAGCTGTGGATGTGGATCCCTGGAAGGGTTCAAGGTCAGGCTGGATGAGGCTTGGAGCAACCTGGTCTGGTGGAAGGTGTCCCTGCCCATGGCAGGGGGGTTGGAACTGGATGGTCTTTAAGGTCCCTTCCAACCCAAACCATTCTGTGGGTCTATGACCTTAAAACTCCACAGCTAAAGACCCTTGCAGAGATCGGTGAAGCACCAGAGAAGAAGTGGCTTTCAACAAGACGTCCTGTTATCTCGGGGTCCCAGAGATGTGTTGCACCCTCCTGGGCTATAAAGGAAAGCTGTGACACATCTTGTAACAAGGTGGTAGTGCAAAAAGACCACCCTGAATATCTTCTGCCCAAAAGGAGACTATCCATAGCAGGTCCCCACCCTGAACATCTTCCTGAAGACCAAACTTCGGAGATACTGGGGTTACAGAGTGAGGGTAGGATGGGGTACCCATGGGTTCCTTTCCACTTCATCAGTGGGAATGGGGTGACTTGTGGAGGATACAGTCTCCCCCCGTGCACTGGGAAGGATTTGTCTCCCAGGCATGTTGGCTCAGGACCCTTTGGAGACGTCACGGAGGCTGTCGAAGGTGCCCATCACCTGGGGGCTATCAGGTACAGCTCTTGCTCTGGAGGGCACCCCCCAGCTCACAGGGTCAACTTAGCAGGCACAAGCACCAAGATGCCA